TTTTTTTTTACCCATAAACGTTCATTCGTTGGAGTGATAGGCTGAGGACTATCTTTTGAAGGTGAGAACTAAAGTTATTCTTAATTTTAGCTACTTGTATATTAGCTGTTGTTTAACGTTTGGAATCCTCGCTTATACCTTTATAATATTTGTGGCTATGGGTTTTGATCACGATTTTATTCAAAACAAAGTAATTTCTAGATCTTTATTCAACCTTCTCCAGTTGGACGTTTTTGGAGGAAGCTACTATCTGATGAAATACCAGTACAGCCAAATCCTAAATGTTACGCTTGCTCAAAACGTCGGGAAGTGATTGTCAAAATGAATACTGCGAAAACTTCAATGCGTGCTTTGGAAAAGAAGCTTTTGAAAGGCTTGCTTGCTATGAAGGACCCTGATGTTATTGTAGCTGGCACTCCTAATTTGATCTTGTCCAGTGAGGACGGTCTTGCCGAAGGTTTTTTGTTTGCATTTTTCGAAGCTATCTGTTTGATTTTTACACATAAATATGTTACGTTAATTATTATTTTAATTTGTTTAGAGATGGCAGGAAAGATGGTGGAATCTGTTGGTGTTGTAAACAGTACAATTTTGGAGTGTGACGACTTTCAACAGAAATTTGAATTGCGAGTCCGAGTTGTTCATAGCGACGAAATGGAAGCTGATCAGTTCGTAATACTTACGGATTCCGAAGAAACAAATAATGGTTTGTTTTATTTTTTTACAATACTCAATAATTCTGCTCATTTGCTTTTATAACTTTTTTAGGAGAAAGTAGTGAAACAACAACCACTGAAACAAAAACCACTGAAGAAGGGACTACTAAAGTGTTGCCACCTAGAAAACACACGTCGGAAATGAATCCTGCTTCTCCGCCAAAGCGTACTCGCGTGTGTGTAGAAGAGTGATTCTCTCGTGACATTTTCCTGTTCTGGATTATGTTGATATAAGAATTCTTACAGTTCAGTTTTCTGAATACCGTTATCTTTGGATTTCTTTTTGTCATGTGGCTTTTTGATAAATGTTACTTCCAAGCTCACTTGAGTGAAAGGTAGCAGAGGAATTGGTGGAGATTTTAGGAGAAGTTGAAGGAACTAAGTGATGCTCTTGAGTCATGGTTCTAAGGTTGCGAGTAATGGAGACTTACTTGCCAGAAATAACCTATTAACACGTTCGTTGGGTTTTCACATGTTAATTATTGGTAAAAAAACTACTCTTTTTTTAAATTTATTAAAGTTTTATGTAGTAATGTCGCACAGGCGGTGTACAAAGTGTTAGGTATTTTTTCCTCAAGGTCTAGTTGTGATAAAAAGAAACTTTGTTGAAGGAGTGTGCTTTTTTCTTGGGGTTTTTTAGTCGCGATTGATTGTTTCCTCTTTTTTTTGCCCTGGCTAATGTGCAAGCTGAATCAGCTAACGATATTGTGACTTTTAAGTCCGTGTTTTTGGTCCCGCTGGAATAAGACTGAAATTTCCGATTTGTTTTCGTGAAAGTTTCTGAATGATTTTGCTGGCTACTGTTTTCAGCGGTAAAGAATGCGTGGCATTTTAATGTCGTCTTTAGTGTTAGGGGTCGAAAATTTCGTATTTTTTTGGAAAAAGATTATTTAGATCAGTTGCAAGGTGCATTGCACAGTCGCCTTCATCTGGCTACTGGCTGATTTTATTCAAGGGGTTAGATGCCTTTGGCTTGCTTCTATTAGTTGTTGTTGGGTGTGTGGTAAGCACTGCTAAGATTTAGCTGCATTTTCGGGTCTTTGTGTTTGGTTTTTTCTATTGTAAAAAACAGGTGCTTGTTTTGTGAGGACATTCCTTAACGTATTCATTGCTTGCTCTAATGGAAGTTATTAGCGGTTTAGTTATAGGTGGGGGAGAACCAACATTTTGATCTTAATTTCGAGGGTCAAAAGTCGGAGTGACGAGGCATATTGCTTCATTGCTGTAACCAAAATTAGGGTCCCGCACAGTTGTGCAAGCGGTGTTCACGTGGAACCTCAGTTCTATACTGCTGTGGATATTTGTAGGGCGTTCTCATTTTTCTGTGAAGTCAAAGTGTATTGTAATACTTAATTGGAAACGGATTCCGTGATATTTTTGAAATATAATTCTTGGCTCTGTTAAACAAAATAAAAATAGACAAGTGTTATTGTGGATGGAAGGGTGAATCGATTAATAAATAAAAAAAAAAGTAACTTATTGTGGGCATAAGTGTAGGTAAATAAATGGGTGAATAAATGAGTATATATAACAAAATATGCTTTCTTACGGAAAAAATCCCAGCGGCTTTGACACAGTGCCACCTTGTCAAACAGAAGCACCTGAAGGTTATTAAAGCCATCTCTAAAGTATTCTGAACCTTTTATTCACTTGTGTTCATTACTTGTCATCTACTTTACAACTGTTTCTGTACATTTTTTCTTATTGTTTTTTCTCTTTATGTTTACAATTTCTAGCTTCCATTTCCTTTTTCAGCCGAAATGTGAGAGTAACTTCAATATCACATGTACTTTCTAATAGTATAACTGTAGTGACTTTATTAAAAGCCCTATATATTGTAGTTATTGGTTTGATTACTGTAATCTACGTTTAAAGTAGTTCAAGAAGTTGTGAAAAAGTTGATTTTGAACAACCATTTAGCTGAGGTAGAGGCTCATGAAATTACAGGAGAAATAAATAGTGGAGTTCAAAAAATTAGAATCATTATTTTTTCTTCTTTTCTCGACGGCATTCCTTTATATTTTATTCACTACTCGCCACTTTCTAAGTAATATTTTGTAAAGTTTTCTCATCTAGTAAGAGACCGTATTTCTTCTGTAATTTCATGAGCCTCTATCCCGGATAACTTGTAGTTGACAGTCGATTTTTCTTGCATCTTCTACTTGTAAATTGCAATAATTGAAACAACAAGTGTCGATATGTGGGCAATTAACAAACTTATTACAATTAATAAAAAGTACTATTATCAAAAAGTACATGTGAAATGAAAGTTACTCTCACATTTTGGTTCAAGAGGGGAATGGAAGCAAGAAAGTGCAAACTTAAAGAGATAAAACACCAACAAACAGTTTACAGTGGGTAGCAATTCATGAACACAATTGACTTAAAAGTTTAGTATACCTTAAGGAGGTGACTTGGATAACTTTCAGGTATCTCCGTTTGACAAGGTAGCGTTGTGCCAAAGCTGGTGGAATTTTTTCCACAGGAAAAGATATTTTTTCTCTGAAAAATTCCGCACCAAGTTAGAATTGAACTCATCTCTATGTACACATACATTTGTTTATTTGTTGGTAGGTTTATGGTTCCAATATGTATACTCGTAGTGTGAGCAAGAATGGTACTTTTATTGACAGAATTGGAAGTCACCTGTTACGGGCTGAAAATAGGAACTTGGGTGCTGTTTTTAAACGTGACAGAAACACGAGTAGGTTAGGAAAGCTCTGGCCAGTGATAGTTTGCGTATTTGGTGTGCATCTTTAGTAAAAGGATATCATTTAGCTGCTGTTAAATAGAGGACGCTGGAACGTTGAAATCGGTGTGGGCCACAGTATTCTAGCTACTGCTTCAGATTACCTAAAAGCTTATCTTCTGCGAAACTGTAGCTGCCTATGTGGTCATCTGCTCAGGTCGTTTCGATTAAATTGAAGAACAGGTAAAAATTTTTCTAGTTTTGAAGATTTTACTTCTGCTGTGATTACTGTTGATTATTTTACTGGATCGTTATTTCGCAAACAGTGGTATAGTCTGAAGCACAGGTGAGCTTCATTCTTTTTTTTTTTTTTGACGGATGTTTTGCTCTTTATTTGTGGCGTTAGGGCATTAAAAGAATTTCAGGTAGTGATACTGTAATATGTGATATTCTGTTGGAGAACACGTATGATGCTTCTCTAAATAGAACGGTGCCAACTTGAACTGCTGCAAATAACGACGCTTGCCGGAAAGAAATGCTCCATGGAGAAAACGAGGAAAAGGATGATAAAAAGCTTAATTTTGTTACGGGTGTTATTATCACTTTTGGTTGATACGCCTCTTAAGGTGTCTGATTTTACAAAATAATGTTTTATTCAAATTTTATGAAAGAAACCCTTTCTCTTTGGTAGGGTGAACAAACGTATCGGGCCAGCTAAATAGGCTGGTAGAATTCTCATTTGAGATTTTGAAGGGAAAAATTAGAAATATAGTACCTATTGTACCCAATCCTTGGTAAATACTGGCACTCTATAAGTCTTACAATGTACTTATATGTTTAGAAGTGACTTTTTTTTACCTATATACATCGTAAAAGAAGATTAAGCATCTGCTGACATTTTAAAGGAAACGTTCAGTTTTCGTAAAGCAACTTTGATTTTAAAAAAAAGTCAGTGGGCTACATCATTGCTAAACCACATGTTTTTAAATAATTGTTTTATTTTTTGAATTTCAAAAAAAGAGTCTGATCCTGTTTGAAATTAACTCGACTTTTTTGTATCTCTTTGCGTTTAAATTTTTCTATAGTTAATAAGGGTTTTATTTCAGTCCAGAAGAAATTGCTCTTACTCAAAGGAAGTGTCAAATGGTCACTAAGGATTTTATAAGAAAGTTGGTTGTATCTTTACTGGTTAATACAAAGAAAATATGCTAAAAGTATTGAATACTGATCAGCTAGACAACCAGAATGCGCTCTTTAAATTTCTGGTTGAAACATTGTTTATAAATGGAAGGTTTCTCTGCTAAAGAGAGAAGACAACAAGAGCGTGAAACAAGGTGAAAATTGCAGAGTCGGAACGCTTTCTGATGCGTATTCTCAACGCTGTATCCTTCCAAAAGCTTTTTTTTCTCCTATCACCCTCTAAAAGACTTTCATCTCCAAAAACCCGTTCTATTTTTGAGACGGAAGAGAAACTGCCAGCGATGAACCATGAAGGAGAAAAGGGAGAAACAAGTTTCTTATTTTTTGTTAGATGTAGTTCCAGCTATTTACTATTATTTTCCTTTGTTTCTGTAGGATATTTTAGGACTGTGATCTTACCAGTGCTAAAGGTGTTGCTAGAAATAGTGACAGAGTGGTTATCTGGAAATAAATACTGCAAGGTCATGGTTATGAATATTCGCCTACAGCTGATTAACTAATGCCATATCGGTGTTGTTCACTCTATTTCTCGTTTGCAATTTAGTAGCGGAATGGACCACTTTCACATCACTGAAGAAGTGTAACGCTCGCTTCCAAATGCCATGTTTACGGTCCCTCAGCTACATTATACAGGACTAAGGTGCTCAACTATTTTTGTCGCCTTGAACATGCTCTCTATAGTTAGTTACAGGCAGTCTCGTATGATGCTTTAGCTTCCTGTACCATCTATTGGAAAATCACTTGCGAGGTCTCTTTCATCACCCTACAACAGTCATGGTCTATGATCATTAACCTGCTTTTTTCTTTTCCCTCTTTAGCAGTTTCGTTTTCAGCCGAGAACCTGGCAGAAATCTTTCTGCTAGTCTGGTTACTTTTATAAAGAACTGAGCGCAAAATCAGTTTTTACTCCGTTAAAATAGCATCTGCTGAGTTTTATGAACAAAGCAGAAAAACCTTATTCGATCATTCTCTAGAAAATAAAGCTGAAACGGTTAGAAACTTTAAAAGAAATCGCAACATTGCCTGAAAGACAAAGTAAAAGTGCCCTCTAAATATTTATACGTAAAGTTGTCTAGAAATAAATAACAAGTGCTAAAGATCAGCATTCTTAGGGTGACCAGCCAAGTTTTGGGACAGGTGAGCGGTAATTTTTT